GGGGGGTTGCATGGACCATGGGGAGGTGCAGATGAGGGTGCAGTGCTCAAGGCATCGAGCCTCGATGCTGTGACTGAGTAGGGCTGTGGGTGCCCTGGGTCCCCCATTCTCACAGGTGCTCTGTGCCCCTGTCTGGGACTGCTTTGCTCAGGATTGGGGATGCCCAGAGGGGGATTCCTCCCTCCCTCAGCAGCCGCTGCAGAAGGCACAGCGCTGAATTAAAGGCCACTTTTTGCAAGTATTAGCATTACTTTCCCTGTCCCCAGGGCACTCATCCGTGTGGTTGTTCATAGAGCAGAGGGACCTGCATCCAGCCTGCATTAATCCATGAATAAAAACCAAGAGAGCAGTCACACCGCAAGTATTAATTAAGCAATTAATGATGATCATGGGCCATTTAGGAGGCTGTCCTGTACAGTGCGTGGCATTGTTGACTGAGGAGAGAAGTGGGGAGATGTTGGCACCTTTTCCACCAAATTCATTGTTTCCTGACCTCGATGGAAAACACGATGCTGTGAGCACAGCCATTAGCTGTTGTCTCAGCATCCGTGTGTCCATGCAGTTAATGTAATGCCACCTCCGACAGCCTTGGCGCCTGGCTGCCTGATGAAATATTCATGGAGAGGAGAAGCGGTGGAACTTATCTGCTCTGTATTGTTCAGATGCAGCAACTTCAAGTGAGGCTTAAAGCCTGGCAGGAGCCTTTGGGCAGGCTGGGAAGTGGCTGGGAGGGACAAAGAGAGGGAGAGAAAGGAAGGGCTGAGCTGAGAGATGAACTCTCTCCAGCAGCAGTTCTCTGTCTGCCTGGAATCTGGGAGCCCAACACTGCACCCAGTGCTCCAGTTGTGGCCTCCCCAGGGCAGAGTAGAGGGGAGGTGCACCTCCCTTCCTCACCCTGCTGTGCAGTGTGCCCCAGGGAATCATTGGCCTTCTTGGCCACCAGGGCACACTCCTGGCTCATGGTTACCCCGTTGGCCACCAGGAGATCCATGTTCTTTGCTGCAGAGCTCCTTTCTGGCAGCTCAGCCCTTGTCCACTCTTGTAACCCACACTTACGAAATGCAGGGTCCTAAGAGATCCCACAGTGCATGAGCTGAGTGTAGTTTTGCCCCAGCTCCCTCTCTCCAGGGATGTTCTGTTGCCAGTTCTCCTTGTCCCCTGTCATTAGCTGTGTTTCATAAGAAGCAGGGGGGGAAATAACCCCAGTGTCTCCTTACACTTGTCCTTTCTCCTCCCCTCTGCCTGAGGGTTTGCTTGGTTCACTGCTCAGTGAAATGCTACCCGTGCACCTTCGTTTCCTGCACCTGCTGGCATGAGGCAGCTCTGCTGAAACCTTCCCCAGCCCGCGTGGCTCCAGCTCCAGGCAGCCGAGCAGCATCCAGGGCTGTGTAATTATAGCCCAGCGCCTGTTTCTGCTGGCAGCGTTAGCAGAGAGCAAGTGGTAACCAGGAGTTATTGCTGTGGAGGAGAGGAGGTGATGCTATCTGTGCTGCCACTATCTGCATGGTGCGTGATTAATCCTTGCTCTGTAGGGTTTCAGCAGCCACACAATCAGCGGTGTGCAAGCAGGTGCTTCCCAGCAACCTCAGGCTGAGGCGTGCAGCACCTTGTCCTCACGTGCATTGTCAGTGATGCTTCCTGGGGAGTGTAATTAACTCCTTGTCTCGTGCACAGTGTGCACCAACAGCCTTGGATGCACACTCTGCATGCATCACACACCTCGCAGCCCGCCAGCTGTCCGCAGCCCATCCCTGTAATCCTGAGCAATGCAAGGATCCTTGTTCCTTGCTCTGGTGGTGTATGGATGGTGTGCACGTTGGAGCCTGGGGTCAGAAAACGTACAACTTGTCCACTGCTCACGTTGGGTCCTGTCTGGCTTCTGTCCGTGCACCCATCCCTCACCTACTGCCGGCTCCAGGGCTGGGAATTGCTCTGTCTGTGCTGCTTTTGAGGTCCCTGCACCCCTCTGCGAGGCTGTTCCAGGCTGTGGCTTGCAAAGTGCTTCCATCAGCAGCAAAGACCTCAGGCAGAGGCTGAGGATTCAGTGCAAGGTTGCAGTGGATGGAACCCAGCACGTTCTTAGGCAGCTGGGGAAGAGACTGTGGGGCCAGGGCTGCTGCCTGCCCCTGCAGCAGGAGCTGCTGAGTGCCACTGCAGAGGTAGTGAGCATAGTGAGCTGCTCTGGCTTCACAGTGTCTGCCTGCAATTAATTTAGGTTCATTAACTCCCTTCTGGGCTTAGCTATATCGTCCTGTTCCTATTCAAAGCCCACCCTGTGGCCTTTGCAGCACCAGCTCTGGCAGAGGAGGACTGGAATAGCAGCAAGTCTCTTCTAGTTTGAATGCACACCACCCATCTGCTATTTCCAGGAGCAAGTTTGGCATTTCAGCATACCCTGCCCACTGCCCATTTGCTATTATTCAATCTCCATGGGGTCCCTAGGGCTTTTTTGGATGCCCAGTGCTGGATTTGGCATGCTACTTTAGTTCTTTGCAGCTAGAAATCTGAAGGACAGAAACTGTTTACAAATGGCTTGTACTACAGCTGCTACTAACTTGGTTAAAATAAAACCAGGTAATATTTGAGCTGGTGACTCGTTTCTGCTGACCTCAGGGATCTGTCCCAAAACAGAAGTGTTGGAGCTGCTGAAGATCAGCATCTGCACAGATGTGAATCCTCCTCCCTCTCCTTGGGAGCAGAAGTCCATTCCCATCCTGCACCCCCAAAGCATCTATTGGATGTCCTCATGGTGGAACAGGACCAGGGATGTGGGGCTGGAGCCCACCTGAGCACCAGGGCTCACTGAGGAGCATTTTCCACAGCACAGACAGGCTCAGTGCTCATCAATTTTATCATTCTTTATATCGTCGTTAAGAGTAGCAGGTATTGATGTACAATGCATCTGTCATCTTATTGTGCTTCCTATGAAAATGTGTGTACATAGTACAGATACCAGAGAGAATTCAACACTTTATACACTTGAAGGCATTCAGAGATCAGTAACAGAAAAAAAAATGGCACAAGAACAAGGCCTAGATGCTACGGAATGGATATCTACACTGATATGATGCATGTATAGATATATATATATATATGTACACATATATATATAGTCATATATATTATATATAAGAAATATAAAATGCAGATGGCATAATAGAAACAAACCAAAAGTTGTATGTTCCAACAGGCGAGCCTCAAGGTCACATCCCAGCCCCATCTTTAAAAGCTTTAACGGGTGGAAAAGGAGGAAAATAAATACATGAAATGCAGTGAAACATTAGGAAAAATCCATAAGAAAATTTATGGATGCGGCCAACCTTTTGTCTTTGGGTGATTGCTGGATAACAAAGGACTGACCCCCAGTTCCTAATTTTGGTCAGGAAGCAAATAATAATAATGAGGATAATAATGGGGGGGAAAAAAAAAAAAAAAAAGGAAAAAAAAATCTAGAAATAAAAAAACTACTAAAAAGACTTATTGCAAAAGCTCTTAAAGAGAAGAAGCACTTCAGCCCCAGGAGGGCTCTTGCTTGGTGCGGGGGGCTGAGGGTGGCCAATGGCCCCACTGCTGGGAGGGGGCAGCGATGGGGAGAGCTGGGGGGCCCGGGCTGTGAGCTTTGATGGTACCCAGGGCTCATGGCCCCCAGGGGTGGCCGTTGTTGGGGTTTGGGAGTGGGGTGGGAGCCTGCAGCCCCGTGGACAATGTGCCGTGGGGTGTCCCTTAAATCTGTCCCTTTTTTGATGCTGGGGCTCCTATGGCTGCCCAGGCAACTTGGTGCCAACGGGAGCCAGAGCTTTCCTTATGCTTTTCTTCCCGAGGATGGTTGTTTTGAGGGCTGCATGGGGGGAACCCCAGATTTCCTGGGGTTTGTCAGGGTAGGGTGGCCACGCTGTGACAGGGCAATGAGGCCCCACACTGTGACAGGGCACCACACCATGATGGAGCCCCACACCATAACGGGGCCCCACACCATAACGGGGCCCCACACCGTGGCAAGGCCATACACTGTGATGGGGCCCCACACCATAACAGAGCCCTACACCATAACCAGGCTGCAGCCCTCAGCGGTCCCCCAAGGCACAGCCCTCCACCCAGCGGCCCAACGTTGCCCTCCCCGGGGCGGAGGCCGAGGAAGACATTTTGGAGAGGTGGAACTGCTCCTTTTTGTGCACATGGAGCGGCTGTGGGCACCCAGGCAGGGCTGTCGTGGTGAGAGACCGCCCAGGGGGCTCTGCTGGGGCTCTGAGATGATGCCAGGCACGGGGACAGGCGCAGGCTGAAGCCTGGGGAGCAGAATGA